ATTTATAATTCCCAATCTTAGTTACTTTAGGAAAATGTGAATATGGTGCTAACCCATGAAATTCACACTTTGTACCTTACCAAGTTGTTGGTGGAGCGCGTGTGGGTAACCGGCACACTAACTTGGACTAGTAAGGATAACAAAGGGTGACTTAATGTTTATCATAGATCGGTGGAGCGCGTGTGGGTGACCAACACATCGATTAGGTGATAATATTAAGGGTACCAAGTGAATTTGCATGGTTATTCACACCTTGTTTTGTGATCCTCGACATCCAAGTCACAAAACTTGAAGAGCACAATCGAGATTGAAACATGCCATTGAAAAGTTCAATGAATCTCAAAAGAATCTAGGAATTTCTAGAACCAATTAAACCTAATGTTTAATTTCATTTTCATGGTGGAAATTGGTGAATCGTCATTCACCTACCTTCAAATATGTTATAGCTTAGATTACGGCATCCCTCTTCTAAGTTACAACATATTGTGTTTAGTTCTAGCTAGCCTTAATATTACATTTGGGTGTCTTATTAAGGACTCTATATATCTAATCTAAACTTATCTCTCTTCTTTTCAGATGTCTTCCAACAACAATGCTTTGGGTTCTAACCATACTGACTCCTTCTTTCTCATGATCCTTTGTGGGAGAGTCATCTTTGATGGTTCAAACTTCAATGATTGGATAAGAAACATCAGGATGGTCACACGCTATGATGGCAAGGAATATGTCCTCGACAAGGAGCTCAAAGAAATCGATGAGTCCACTGCTACTCCTCAGGAGATCGCTGACTTCAGGGCTCATGAGAGAGATGCCACAAAGGTAGTATGCATCATGATGGCCACTATGACAGCCGAACTCCAGAATCCTATGAGGACTTCTACCCTTTTGAGATGTAATAGGATTTGATGGACCGCATCCATCAAGTGCTCGTCAAGAGCGGTATTCGATTATCTTCTCCATGATAACAAATAGCATGAAGGATGATGAACCCATCATAGCCCACATGCAGAAGATGCAAAGAATTCTGGACCATCTGCTGAAACTGAATGTGAGCTTCCCAGAGGAGTTGGCAATTGACATCATTTTGCACTCCTTACCTCCTTGTTATCACCAATTCAGAATGACCTACCACATGAACAAGGAGGAGGTCACACTCAGCAAGCTTCAAGGACTCTTGAAGACCGCCGAAAGGGGTCTTAAAGGTAAGTCAGTTGTTCCTACTCCTACTCCTACAACAACCCATGTTTTGGCTATAGGGCAGGGTAAAGGAAAAAAGAGGAAGACTAGTTCGAAGGGTACCAAGGGAAGTCTCTTGAAGGCTCCTCATCTGGAACCAAAAGTGGTTCTGTCACTCCTTCTATCATCCCTAAGGATGCTGATTGGTTGTACTGTCAGAATAAGGGGCACTGGAAGTGAAACTGCTCTAAATACTTGCAGGATCTCAAGGATGGGAAAGTGAAACCCACCCATGCAGGTACAGGATGTGGTATTCACATATGTTCTGATTTGCAGGGCCTAAGAAGAAGTGAGGATGTGGAGCATGGGAAGATAAACCTGATTAGGGGAAATAGGAAGGCTTCACCTATCTCCAAGATTGGATTTTATACCTTGTTGCTAAGTATTGGGTTAAAGTTAGATTTGAATAAATGTGTGTACTCGTCTGAAATGGCAAGAAATATTATTTCTTTTCATGGTTTGTACAAACAAGGTTTTACCTTTTCGTTTCATAATGAATGCGGTGGTATTAATGCTTTCTTTAATAATGTTGTTTATTTTAAAGCATTACCTTGTGATGGTGTGTATGAAACTGTGTCGGTTGTAGATAACCTAGGAAATAATGTGTTGTGTATTGATTCGTCTACTAGCTTGGATAAAGCATCATTGTGGCATTGTCGTCTTGGACATGTAAACAAGAAATGCATAGGCCAACTCCAAAAGGATGGAGTCTTGGAGTCATTTGACTTAAAGTCAGATGATAGTTGTGAATCTTGTTTTCATGGAAAAATGAAAAAATCACCCTTCACTGGCACTTGTGCAAGGGGTGAGGGTTTGCTGGACCTTATACATACTGATGTATGTGGACCATTTAAAACCGCCACAAGGGATGCTAATCGTTATTATGTGACTTTTACTGATGATTACAGTAGATATGGTTATGCACTACTAGAAAAACAGCCTTTTACGACGCTCATTGCGCGTCGTAAATGGCTCAGATGATGCGCAAATGCGCGTCAAGGAAGGCCCTATCATAAAGAGAGACGACGCACTTTTGCGTGTCATCTATAGACGACGCGCATTTACGATGCTCATTTACGACGCGCAGTTACGATGCGCCTTTACGACCCGCAATGCGTATCAAGGAAGACCCTGTCATAAAGGAAGACAACACGCATTCGCATGTCGTAACCTTACGACGCGCGTGTTAATGACACGCAATGCGTATCAAGAAAGACCCTGTCAAGAAAGGCCATGTCATAAATGAAGATGACACACATTTTTGTGTATCATAATTTTAAATGTTTAAAAATATATATATTTTTATAGATTTACTAATTTTCAAATTAAATTTACATTTAATGCATCATAATACAAAATAAAATATCATATACAAAATATATAATCCATTTCATAAAACTTAATGTCATACAAAAATAGAATCCATTGCATAATATTTTATTACAAATTTAACATTTTTTTGTTTCCGTACTTTGACAATTTGTGCTGCTGCTGATTCCGGAGCCAATCTACGACTGCATTCCAGAGTTGATTCAGTGGAAAGAGCATCCCAGACTCCATCACTTGAAATTACAAGCCGCCCACAAGCAAAAGATAGCTGAAGATCATGAATAAATAAAAGTTGTTAATAAAAAGAGGAATAAATTGAGTTTAATTACTAATCACCAACACTCAAACCAATTAATGAAAGTTAAAGCATCTAAATAATATAGCATGGGATGCAAATATATCATGCATCGTACAAACAATGAAGATTTTTAGTTTCTGGAAGATTATTGACATCATTGGGATTAAGAGTTTTCTTTGCTTATCCACTGCACCTCATATGTTTCCATCACATTTGAAGGATTATAATGCTACATAGCTCTATTAAAGACGCTGAAATATCTCTCTATTGTTATGCATGAAATCAAGACATATGATCTTCTAATACTAGAAAACAAGAGCTATTCGGAATAATAAAGCTACATACCTGAGTTTGCAAGAGGTATCGCAAGGTGCTGCCGACTCAAAACCAAGCAGCCTTAGGCACTTATCAAGGACTGAACTGAGGATGCACATCTGATAGAAAAAAGTTAAAAGTATAATTACAAGGATTAATAAAAGTTATTCTTCAATAATGAGTTTATAAGGAGTTTCAAGATTTTATGACTCTTTTCAGCATCTGTAAAAAGTTTCTCAATTGTAATAGCAGTACTTCTGTTGAATATGTAATGGGTGATATTCGCAGTTGTACATGTCCCTTGTTCACCAAGGAAAACATAAGAACTAGGGGAGAAGAAAATAGGGATTAGAACAGCAGAAACAAGAAAAAACAGAGGAACAATATTGGTTGGTGCTATAGATAACTTAACTGAATAAAACTTGGTTCTTAACATATTAAAAGGACAACGGTTACACCTATATATGCTAAATAAGATAGCATCCAAATATAACTTGAGGGGCAGACACAAGAATTTTCAACAATAGTGGCACCAAAGCCTGTAACAACAAAAAAGATAACATCAAGGCTTATCTAAAAGAAAACCAAATAAGCTCAATACACTTTAATAGCAACATGATAGAAGCATATGGCAGTAGAACTAATCAGGTTATGTATAAAACTAGATACATTATATATTATACATAGATATAAATATAGGGAAATAATTTACATACGTGAACAACATCATTCCTTTGCTTCCTACGTTTTTGAGAGGCCTGAACTTGCAACTGGAGTTCCCTTATTGCATTAAGTATTTCTGCAAAGAATTTCCTCTTCCTCGTTTCTACTCTATTCTTTTCTTCCTCCTCTAATTTTGTTAGTCTGTGCAGCAAATGATGTTAAAAGAAGAATAAGTATTAAACTAATAACTTCTTTTTTCCAAAAGCATACAAAGAAAATTCATAAACTTTTATCAACTAGTCAAAGAAAATATCCATCAAGATTCAAGATTTACCTCAGCATCTCGTTTCTTCTTTTATCAACTTTTATCAACTAGATGAAAGTACACAGTTGTTTCTTGCATTTAACCCATTAAATGTTAATCTTTAGATACAAAAGAGAATATGGAAAAGCAAGATGTTATAAACTACAGTCTACCTTAAGTCCATAGAGTTCAAGCAAACACTTTGACTGAAGGTCTTCACCTATGCTTGTAGGTAATTCTAAATTCATGATAAAGAAACAAATGAGTAAAGTTAAATGATATCTACTAACAACTTCACCTGCCAGTAAATAAAATGTTAAAGTATAATACATATGCTTCTTATGGCAACCTTCAAGTTGTGTCAAACGATTTTGGATGTGGCTCTCGATCCATTTTTTCCTTGTTTTTGCCATTTCAGAACCAGTTATGTGATTGGATCGATGTTTGACCAAAGCCTCCTCAAGGTCTGCCATTAAATCTCCTCTATTTAGAAATGGAGAGTTATTCTTTAACGATATCAAAAAGTTAGGCAAACACACCATGTAATAGTTATAAGTAGAACATATTTTACTCGGTAAATTCTCCTAAACATGAACAGTGGACCATAGGTCTAAAACTGAAACTGAAATTACTTATCCATTGAACACAGGGCCGACCCTGAGATTTAGGGGGCCCTGTACAAATTAGGAAAAATAGGCCCTAAGACTGATAAAATATAAAATAATATAAAACAAAAATATGTAGTTTTTCATTCCATGTCATAATGAACCACACACAGGTCAAAAGCTACAAGGCAGTTCACATAGACAAATAGAAAAGTTGAATTCAACTAGAGAGAATTGCAAGAACAGGTAAACCACTGCTATCTTCAATGCTCATAATGGTTTCTACACATTCATAAAGTATTGCATTCCCTGCATTCTTGTTTGACTCAGTTTTTTTTGCCACCTACACAAGGAATTTCTTAAATTCTTATAATTTTGAATTATATATCACAATTCACAATGAGCTTTATTAAAATAAAAGCTAACCTAGGCAAGAATGTGATTCATGGAATCACTAGCATCAGCATCTCCATGGCCCAAAACACGCAAAAGGCGAAGCAATCTTATATGAAGAAAAGGGTCTGCAATACCTGAAACATCATATTCAGGAGCATATGGGTTGTTGACAACATCCTTCAAAACTTTCACCAACACCTCTGTGCATTTCTATACCAATGGAAGAAAAAAGAAAATATATCTCATCACTAAAATTACTAATTTGCACTTATAGAATCATATGTCAAACAGTTCTTAGCGCAAATACACAGTAAAAAGATAAAGAAAGAGAACAAGAACTAAAGGAAGACAATCCCAACAAATAATAGAGGATCTTTAACAAGATCAAGTATATTTACCTTCCTGAAAATTTCAAGAGCCTCTTCATTAAAGTTACAGAGATCTGTATAGAGCTGGATTGCTATTAAAAGAACCCCATGATGTTTTTCTTTAAGTAAGGAAACAATAGGGTTGACAAGATTTTCTGCAAGGTTAGGGACCTTCTTTACAATCCTTATTAAGCACAATGTTGCCTGTAAATTGTAAGAACTTATGTGAGTATGATTCTTCATATGAAATGTGAGAATTAGATGAAACATCCTTGAGAGATCATGAAATGAAATAAATGTTAACATCAGCTTACTTTCTTTTGAATATTTGGATCTCGAAATTGCAGCAATCTTTCAACTTCAGGTGCAAGATCACGAGCCATTTCTGCAGAACATGTATTACCCAAAGCACAAAGAGCTAGTCCCACAATGTACTGATTGGTGTGGTTAAGATCTCTGCAGATGATGAAAAAAAAGATTCTCAAGTCAACCATGTTGCTTGAACACAAGATACAGGAAAGATAAGAGTGAAGAAGCACATTCTTTTCTAACAGCAGCACGCTCTTCTGCAGCAGTTTTGCAGGCTCGTATTGCCCTAATAATGTCCCTGCAGTAGACCAATAATGTTTCATTTACAGTTTCAGACCCAACTAATTAACAACAAATTACGCATGTGGTATGAAATGTAGTCAAATGTTTTGCAGGTGAAGGATAAACCAAAAAGATGGAAAATCTTAAGTAGAGAGACATATGGTTTGCGAGGGATGGTTCATGAAAGAGTTCACGGATTATCTTCAAACCTAGATTAGGATCTTATAAGGTAGTGACAGTGTCTTACTCATTTGAGTGACCCATCCAATCGGGAAATACATGGATGAATTCCATTAAATGTACGCAAATCAAATGCCCCAACTATTACGAACGCGAACTAACTCTCAATATAGACAACTTGAGATAACGTTAATACAAATTAGGTCGAAATGAAGAACTAGTTCAAAATTGATCACAAGGAAAAGCTTTAAAACATAAGATCAATTGTAAACAAGAAACTCACCTTAGACGCGTTCCAGACGAAAAGGGCTTCATGATTAGGTCGGTTTTGAAACCGCGAGAGAGCTCGATCAGATCCTGAGATGTTTAGTGCAAAAATGAACTATATAACCGAGTTGTAGACCGGTGACTGCAATTATATGTATGTTTGATCAAATCGAGATCTGGGGAAAGGTCAATTACAAGGATCTGAAGAGGAATTTGAGATCTGTAACCTATGGATGCTAATGCAAACGTGATGATGATGACCAAAAATCTTGATTTCTCTCGCTAAATTCTTAGTTCAATCCGAGCTAGGGCTTGTAAGGCCCTAAATCGCCGGCGCTGTGTGGGATGAGAAGTGGTAAGGTCCTAAATCGTCGGCTCTAGGATATAAGTAGACAGAGCATGTAAGTTCGTCACACTTTCAAGCATAATTTAACCCAATCGTCGGCTCAAGCATAATTGTAACCCAATCATAGTCACTCAATGCGAAAATATGCAATTTTGGAACGGAGGAACTCTATGGCGAAACCGATAGCAGCTTGTACGCTTTCGGAGTTGTACTTCTTGAGATATTGTCAGGCGAAGAAGGCAAGTGACGAACGAAGGAAGGAGCGTCGATAACTAGGCAAGGCAGCAGTCGAATCTATGGAGGGGGAAGAAAGGATCGTAATTAGGGCAAGAAGGAAACAAAAGTGGAGGATAAAAAAGAAGGCGGGTGTTCAAATTTTTTGGGATTTCATTTTCCCCCTATCTACTAAACGCGCTTTTCATTAAAATTATAAAGCGACATTCATAGAGGACGCCCATTTAAGATACAACGCCCTCCGTGTTTTTAAGTTTTTTCTCGTATGACGCTAATTCAAGCGCACGTAATAATGCGTGACCTAAATCCTTAAAATTTTTTAAGAGATGACGCCTTTTTAACGTCACTCTCCATTACGTAACATAAATCAATGAGTGTCGTGGTTTGCGCATCGTAAAAGGCTATTTTTCTTGTAGTGCATATGTCTACTCAATCAAGCATAAGTCAAAGACTTTTGAAAGGTTTAAAGAGTTTAAACAGGAACTAGAGAATCAATTGGGCAGGAACATTAAGATGATACGATCCGATCGAGGTGGTGAGTATCTTAGTACAGAGTTCCTTGACTATCTTAAGGAATGTGGTATTGTCTCACAATTGACAACTCCCATGACACCACAGCTGAATGGTGTAGCTGAGAGGCATAATCGGACCTTGTTGGACATGGTTCATTCCATGATGAGTCGAGTTTCATTACCAATCTCTTTTTGGGGGTATGCCTTAGAGACTTTCGTCCATATCCTTAATCTAGTCCCTACAAAGAAGGTTTCCAAAACACCTCATGAGATGTAGACTGGGAGAGTTACCAATATAGATCACATTAGAATTTGGGGTTGCGAGGCTTTTGTGAGACGCGAGAATCAGGATAAGCTCGAACCTCGAACTGAGAGGTGTATTTTCATCGGGTACCCACAAAATTCTTTTGGTTGGAACACACCTGACTTTTATTATGGATTCCATATTACTACGGAAAGTGATACGTTTATCAATGATAGTACACTGGTAAATCTGGATGAACCTAACAACTTTAAGGAAGCCATGGCAGGCCCAGAGTCTGTTAAATGGAAGGATGCTATGGACAGCGAGATACAGTCCATGTATGACAATCAAGTATGGAACATGGTTGACAATGTACCAGGCCATAAGATAGTCGGGTGCAAATGGATCTTCAAGAAGAAGACCGACATGGATGGAAAGGTGCACACTTATAAAGCGCGACTGGCAAAGATTAAGTCTATTAGGATTATGATGGTGATGAAACCTTCTCACCAGTGGCAAAGATTAAGTCTATTAGGATTATGATGGCCATTGCTGCATTTCATGATTATGAAATATGGCAAAAGGATGTCAAAACCGCTTTCCTTAATGGGAAGTTGGCTGAGGATGTTTACATGGTTCAGCTAGAGGGTTTTATCAGTCCAGAATATCCTAATAGGGTGTGTAAGCTTGAGAGATCTATTTGTGCAGTCACGTCAGACCCTTCCCTTTCACACTGGAAGCACCCGAAACCATAAATATAAAATCGTAAGCACAAAGCTTAGTGATTCCCCCACAATACCACATACAATACATATATGTTAGCTCAAGGTTAGACTAGGTTTATTTTACCCATGGATCTATTTCACCCCCAAGTCTACTTCAACTCATATGTCAGCTCAAGGTTGTACCAGGTCTATTTCACCACCAGGTATATTAACCCCTTAGTCTATTTCAACTTAATTGGTATTTTTCGACCGTACCGGGTCTATTCACCCCCACAATACCACATACAACACACATATTATTCTTAGAAACTTACAATCGTATCTCATGTGAAGTACATCCTAGAGTAAGAAGCCTATGACTTCAGTTCTTTAGTTTTATTAAGGAAAGCAGCCCACACGTGTATTACATTGGTACGTACTTTTGTTCTCATAGCTAACGTACGTGCAACTTCCAGTTGCATTCCATGACGTTCAATCGTTTCCCATATAATTTCCCTGCCATTTAAACATAACACAATAAAAATGTCACGACAAAAAAACATTTTAATTAAGTCACATAAAATGTACTATCTTACCCTTTATCTCTCCCCCATGCTATTATGCTTTGAGCCACAACGTTTTCATCATCTTTAACCGCCTCATTCGCGTTCATTATCCGATCTACATATGGTGAACACACTAATTGTCCAAGTTTCCCCTTCCTTTTACCTTTCTCATTTTTGAAATCATCAACATGCAACATTTCACTTTCCATAAGATCTTTTCTAGTTCTTTTCTGCAGTTTGTCTTCTGCAACATATTTTTTTTGTATATCTAATTACTACCTTGCTTCCTTCCTTAAAATCCATACTTTTATCTTCCTCATTCAGTTGTGTTATTCCCAAATCGAATGATGGTATGTAAACTTTGCAAAAATCCTTCTTCTTTCTCATGCTCCTTTCCATAATTTCATCAGACATATTCAAAAAAACCAGGAGTTAGAACAACTGGACTATCTAATGATGTATTTCCTTTATATTCCAGAAAGAGCACGAAAGGTGAGTCGCACCCATCCACAAACTTTGTCTTCTCATTATTCCTTCCAGTAGACTGAACATTGCATATTAGACTACTTTCTTTCACAAAACTACTTCCTTTCACAAAATTACTTTGCTCAGAATCGTCTGCAACTTTAAGGGCGTTTTCATTGTCGCTTCATTTGTGGGCGAGCTATTATCTACATGATCCACAATCTTTTCATTAAAAAGTTGGCGCACCTTTCGCGACCACTCTTTTACTACATCATCATTTGCATCATCATCTTGTTGGATTAGTGCCTAAGTCCATAACTATTTTGGTATGTACTTGACCGGATTGTGCATGGTCCTTTTGGGTTGCCTTCACACTGGTGACTAGACAGGATGATTGTTGAGGATAGAGGCTGGTTTATTGTTAAGAATAATAAGTAGGGTATAAATATGATTTGTTAATATATTATATGAATAATATATTAATTTGGAATCATATTATTAATTAGTATTTAATCAGAAATTAATTTAGAACTAATTTTGGGATTAAAGGAACTGACTGAAAGTGCAGGGGCTATTTTGTAATTATTCAATAGTTGAGGCTTTGGGCCATTGGATCACCTTTATTAAGGCTTGAACGAAAATCCTAGAAGGATCTAGGAGTTTTTGTCCAAGGGCTTAAGGAAAGGAGTCCATGGACTTGCTTAGGCCCTAAGCTAAGGGATTATGGTTTACACCTTGAAACCCTAGTTAGCCTTAAGTAAAAATAGCACCCTAAGGCACTAGCATTTCGTTTAAGGTTTGGGAAACCCTAAAAGGGATGAATTCTAGGGCAAGATACCCTTATCTCCTCTGTCCCATATTCATCCTTTCACCTAGTGTGTTTGTGAGCCATTAGAGGTACTACACTTGTGGTACTTGCTTTCAAAGCTAAGGAGATTCAAGGAACTAGTTCTTATTACTACATAACAACAAAAGGTATGTATTCTATTCTTCTATGTGGATTTCGAAAATAGTACTAGCATGCCAGGTTTCTTTTTGTGTTCATAAAGTTGTAATACTAATAGTGAAAACATAGATCCAACTCTAGGGTTGAATGCACACATAGGATTGTTTGTATAAAACTCATCAGTGGTATCAGAGCCATATGTTTTTGTTTTCAATTAGCATTATTCAAATGTATGAACTTACAAAACTAGGGTTTATAGCTAGTAGACCCTAGGGCTTGGTAATTTTTGCAATTAGGGTTGCAAAACCCTAGTTGGAGATTTTCTGATAGGGTTTTAAAACCCATTTCTTTGCCTCCATATTTTCGAAATTAGGGTATGTAATGTAACACCTGTGTTTCTGGGCTTTCCATTTTGAGCAATGTAATAGTCTAGGTTAACCTTTGTAACCCGTTTTGAAGTAATAAGAATGTATTATTTGAGTTTATGTGTTTTGTGCTTAATTGCTTAATTATGTGGTTTGATTAATTAAGAATAAAAATAAGCATCAAAATTTAAGTTTAAAATAAACTTGATATCTTTGGATAATGTTGTAGTAGTTGAAACGAGGTTTCTGAATATATATAGAACGCCCAAATCTGACTTCATATGAGGAAGTTACGATTTTCTGAAGTTTCGACTTAGCGGTATGCAGCCCGAAATACTCGATTTGAGATCGAGCGGTTTTTAGCCGAAGCAATCTAAACGAGAATCGAATATCTCGTTGTTAGTAGCGAAACGATGAAAAGTTAGGCAAGAACGGACGTCAATCGAAGAAGTTATGAAGTTATAACGAAATTTTCTGTCCCGGCCTACTAAAAATAAATAATAAAAATAAAATCAAAATTAGTCGATGGAGTCTAAACAAAAGTTGTAGACCGTAGTCTCACCTACGCGTGGATATAAAGAACGTCGAAATCGGAGTTCGTATGAAGAAGATATGAATTTTCTAAGTTTATTAAATATTTAATATTTAAATTTTAAATCAAAATTTCGAAATTATCCGAAGACGAGTCACCAGACATATTCGAAGTACGCCCAGCATACAGCAAAGCATGATGACCTTCGCACTCAAGTGACTTCAGATGACGAATGCAATGACGATTTCGGACCAGTACGCCCCACGTAAGGCCGTACGCCCCGCGTACTCCGAGGCTCTAGCCTCCTATAAATAGGATGCGAGGGAAGCCGACTCATTTACTCCTCTTCTCTCTTCTTTCTCCCGTTTTACCTCGTTTTGCGTGCCAAAAGTACCCCGAAGCCCCGGTAATATTCCCGAGTCCCGAAGCAAGATCCGAAGCCCCGAAGATCCCGAGAAGTGCGATTCCCGAGCCGAAGCTCTACCCGCGAGAAGTTCAATTTTTGTAGAGATCTTCTAGATCTGCGGAGAGATACTACTTCTGCAAGCCGTAGTGCTGTCTGATCATCTTCTGATCAAGTGAGTGTGTAGTTACTTTCCTCTAACGCATAAATACAAAGTATTTTATACGAAACACGTGTTATTTGTATAATTTTGTTGTTATATGTGTGAATGTATATTCATTCTCTTCTATCACATAGATCTGAATTATTTTCTATGAAATACGTGTTATGTGGGTGTGCCTCATCTGTTATATGGAATATGTATGGAATGAAAATGCTATACAGGTTTTAAACTATGCATTAAAAAATATATATTTTTATCTACTAATATGTTAGGTAGAACATGGGTAGATAGTTGATGTGTGATAAACAGATGAGAGGTGTTGTGGGCTCATTACCTGGGTAGATAGTTGTTGTTGTTGTTGATCTAGTTATTCAGCGGAGTATGGATAACGACAAGGGACTCTTTCTAGACAGTCCTGTGGAACACTTGTAGGCTCATTACCTGTAGGTGTTGTGAACGATGTGTTCACCGGTGTACTCTATCCCCCTCATGGTTGCCTTTAGGATATATATTGCTAAGGAAGCCCCTTTTGCAGTAATGTCCGTCCCGATGAAAATCCTAGATTAGGTCCCTTATAATAGATGTTGTTTTAGGGATGTATTGTGAGGATAACAGGAATGGATAATCGGGTTATTGTTGGTTGGTGAATTAAATATAATTATTTATTGCGGATTGAAAACCTTATATGCTCACCAGGCTCCCAAGCCTGACCCACTCAGTTTATTTGTATTACAGGAAGTGGCGCAAGAGCATAAAGATGGATGAATCATCAGCTTATTTTGTTTACAAGTCTGTATATGTACATATTTGTGGAATGACTTGTAATGTTATCGTTTATGCTTTATGATCTGTATCGGAACATGACATCCCGAATTTTGATTATGAAATGAAATCATATTTCTTTATGAAATGTTTTGATAAATATCTATTTTATCATGTATTTTTTTTGGGAACAAATTCCGCATCTCTTTTAAAATTAAAAGGATTTACTCTGAAAATGTTTAAAACGCATAAATGAAATCGGTCTTTTCTGGCCGAGATTTTGGGTATGTCACAGTTGGTATCAGAGCATTAGTTTAAGCGAACTAGGAATTTGTAGGATTTCTAGACTTAAACTTAGAATGCTAAATGGACATGGTGAGTTGTGTGTCTGATAAATTTTAGACACGGGCACTAGTTTATTTTAGGAGAGTTGCCTAAAATGCTTTTATGTGCTAAATGTTATATGTTTCCATATATGATATTATTTGTTCGGATCTATGGTTTATTACCAACCGGATCTGAAGGTTTATGTGTTTAGGATTCTAAGAGTATGTCTACGTTATTAGAACTAGCATGTAATCGTTTGGAGTAATAAGGTGAAATTATTCGGTGTATAGATCAAGAATGGCAAGAACAAGGAGTGGTGCTGGAAACGCAAATGAAAACAGGAACCAACCACCTGTGATTGAACCAGTTGCTGTTGAAGCTGCTGCACCAGAACAGATCACCATGGCTGGAGTGCAAGCCATGATTCGGGCTATGTTAGCCGAACGATGGGAAGAAATGCGACAGATGTTGCATGAAAATAGGGAGGAACCTATCATACCTATTGTGGAAACTGAACTGATTCCCGAACAATCAGAGGAAGGGAACAATAGTCGCATTGTGAGTCATGTTGGGACTCAAGAAGAACGAAGGAACGATCCAGAAAGGAGAAACAACAACGATGGGCGAATGTACAAGAATTTCTTAGGCGCCAAGTCTTTCTAGGAGCCCAAAGCCTGTTGAAATTATGGATTGGATCTCCGAAATGGAGATGGTGTTTGAAAGTTGCGACTGTAGCAACAAACAGAAGACGGTCTTTGCAGTTAGGCAACTAAAGACTGGAGTCTTGAGCTGGTGGAAGTTGTTGGCAGATACTATGCCACAAGGAGAAGGTCTAAAAATGTCATGGGAGGAGTTCTTGGAACAACTAAGGGTGCAATATTGGTCAGAGATAGATCTGATTGATCTGAACAATGAGTTCCAAAACTTGAAGAAAGGGAAGATGAGTGTAGATGGCTATGCTACTGCATTCACTGAGAAAATGAATTTATTTCCGTACCTAGTGCCAACGGAACTCTCCAAGATTGAGAGGTTTGCCAATGGACTGCCTGCCGACTTTGGTCCGACAGTCGAGATGGCAACTACTCTAAAAACAGCTGTTCGAGCAGCTAAGAATGTGGAGGCCCAGCAGAAGGAAAAGGGTCTGGAAAGGGTAGAGGTTGGTGAAAAGAGGAAATTCGATGGACCTTTAGGGTCCAATAAGAAAGGAAAATTCTCGAAATCTGGTTCGAGAGGAAGTGGAGGAGGTGAAGCGAAATGGTGCGAAAAATGTAAGAAGAAGCATCATGGGAAGTGTGAAGTGGTGGCCACATGCTACAAGTGTGGAAAGCCAGGGCACTATGCCAACGAATGCACACTTACCAAGAAAGTTTGCTATGGTTGTGGTGAGGAGGGTCACATGTCGAGGGACTGCCCTAAGAGGAAGGAAGCAGCAAGAG